CAGGGCCATCTTTGTTTTACGGCCCCAGGATCGAAGCGATTCCCCTTAGCGCTTGGCGTCACCCCACGCTCTGAGTGTTGGGAGGAGGTTCAAGAAGGGCCCAGCGTCCCCTTTTTGGAAAGCCGGCAGCAAGAGTTTCGACAAATAGATTCAGCTACCTCTTCGGCGATAGGCTGTCTCGGACTCAAATACCCTAACGGCTAGAATCCGTGACACCAGGGTCCCTAGGATCTAACCCCCGTAACGCCGGCGACTTCGTTCTCATCTGCAGGTGCGTTCTTTATCCTGCAGGATTGTTGTCATCGATGACTACGGGACACTTCGCCCAACAATTTTCTTTAAACTTGCAGATTTATTTCGCACCATCTTGACACATTGGTCTAACTTTGTGTTTTCTTTTGTCTTTAGTGACTTAAAGATCCCCTTACGCAGCTTCTCTTGCAGGGTAGGGAGCCCCGTCAAGGGAGCTGCGTGTTTTATATAATCTGAGTGACGACATAGTGCATCTGCGGGATTATATTCCCCAGGATGGTGCTCAATATCAAAATCGAACGCTGAGAGCATTTGCATCCAACGAATCTGACGCCCATTTAGCTGCTTCGTCGTCATGAAGCGCCGGAGGTTGGCATGGTCAGATAAAACAACTATTGGGTGCCTGCTACCATGTAGGTAGTGGCGCCATTGCCTGAAAGCTTCTACAATCGGCAACATTTCTAAATCATATGTTTGATAATGTCTTTCTGCTTCTGTGAGTTTTCTGGACCAAAACGCGATCGGGTGCCAGTGACCATCATCCATTAATTGCGATATTACTGCGGCGATTGCAACGCCAGATCCGTCCGTTTCTATACGGAGTTTTCGCTGCGGATCAAAATGAACTAACAACGGTGCTTTTGTAAAGCATTCTTTTAACTGCAGTATTGCGTGCTTGCAGTTCTCGCCCAGTTGGACAGGTGCGTTGTTCTTCCCCTTTTTTGTTTCAAATCCTTTTAGCAACTCAGTTAGGGGTGCCGTTATTATCGAGAACTTATATATGAATCGTCGGTAGGAAGTGGCGAATCCTAGGAATGTTTGCAGCTCGTTTATTGTTCGCGGTTCAGGCCAATCTAGGATCGTATCGACGCGGCGTTTTTCGACAGTGATGCCCTGCGTGGTAATCACAAAACCCAGAAATCCAATTTCTGTTGCATGGGAACGTACACTTACTAAGTTTCACATATAGTCTCCATCGCCTTAAACGTTCCAGCACATTCTTAACATGGGCGACGTGTTCGTCAAGCGTATTCGAATAGATTACGATATCGTCAAGATAAGCCACGCAATATACGTCCAAAATATCACTGAGGGCTTTGTTGATATAAGATTGGAAAGTCGCAGGGGCGTTGGTTAGCCCAAAGGGTAAAACCAGATACTCAAAGTGTCCGTATCGTGTTCGAAATGCCGTTTTCCATTCATCCCCCGCTCGTATGCGATTCTATGATACGCGTCCCTAAGATCCAATTGCGTGTATATTTTGGCACCTGCTAATCTATCGAGTATTTCACTTATCAGGGGCAGCGGATACCGATTCTTGACTGTTATTTCCTTCAACCCTCGATAATCTACGCAAAGACGCAGGGTACTTCTATCTGCGGGAGATCTATTATATTGGGTGAGACTATAGTCCCACCACCTCACTCATA